GGGGAGGGTTTTTCACACAGGGGTGAGCACTTGTGGCCCCCTGCTGCAAACGGTTAATGCTTAGGAGTTATCAAGGATGAAAATGCTCTATGTTCTGCACAGTGTATTAGCAGAGTGACTGCTTCCTAAGGAAAAACAACTGAAAGTAGGAAACTACGTTAAAGCAAAATGAACCTGAAGATCAGGAGCACACAACCTAGGTAACATCTTTCAGTTTGTAAAATTAAGTAACCCAAGAAATTCCAATGTCAGAGAAATGTTTCAGGTGAAACGTGGATTATTTGTGAAAAAGAAACTTTTTTTTGGGGCAGATAATTCCTCCACTCAAAATCTCTACGGCATTTTCTGTCACTCTCACGGTTAAGCCTGTTCCACCTTTAGCTGTACCGCTTCCTGGCTGTGCAGAAGACTCACCCCTCTCTTGCTCTGGCAGAGCTGGGTAAGCTCTGTATTATTTGCACTGAGAGCATTTTGATTTGACAATCGGGCAAAAGTAAATGCTTCTTTTTTAGCCTACGAGACTAAAATGGATAATCTTTCCCAAAAGGATGTAATCGCTCTTCGGTAAGACCCATTAACAGGTTTAGCTGAATTTTATCACACTAGCAGGAGCTGTTGGCTGTAGATTTTAATAAGCAGGGCTCTTCCTCCAACTATCCTCATTTGCTGGCAAAAGGGAACATTTCCATCTTCTGTCCAAAAGCATTTGCACAAATGAAGAAAGAATTCCTCTCTTAGCATCTAGAAAATAGTTTTTATTACCGAGCTCACTATATTTAATAGCATTATTAAAATATGAGTGAAGTGCAACAAAAATTAAACAAGGACTCCTGAACTAGAATATTTGGAAAGAGCTCAGAAGATTTGTGCATCAGTTTCTCCCCTTTAAAAATATCAGAGAGTTCTATGACAATTCACATTTACCATCCCAGTAAAAAATCCTTAATGCTTTGGTTAGATTTCTTTAATAGAAGACCATGCTGTCTAGAAATACTTCAGTTTGGAAATCACATGGGCAAATACTGTTAATAACATACAGGTTTGAGAACCCTGCTACGGAGGACTACATGACAATATTTTAGAACTAGTTTTCTAATTTTAGGGTATTTTTGCAGAGTTAAAATGTATTTCACCTTCATTCTGAAGGAATTTGCATTGCTTCGAGGTAAGGGGAGGGAGCAGGTAAAATTTTTCTTCCCTTCCAAGTTCTTCTCGGGTAACATTTGCTGCAGCATCACTGATCATTAAAAAGGAGGACGCAGGGTTTTGTTGCTGAAAGTAGGCTGGAAAAATCTATGAACAAGTTATCTATTAGAAGTCCATTAAAAAGTTTGAATGTTTATTTCTTGTAGAAGGAATTAGGGTGTGAGGGGGAAAGTCAGTCCACTGCTGCCAAACCACTTGAGCTGTATAAATTAAGCAGCTGCAGGAGGAAGGGGGGAATTGGTGGTATCCTCCCCGGGCAGGTGAGGCAGCCAGCACAGCAGCTGGGGTGAGCTGGCACAAGTGGGAAATAGGAATCTATCCCTTTGCAAATTAATTATTTATATATTTTTAGGCTTCCAGCAAGGGGATGTAAGTTTTAAAGGGATATGTTTGTTTCACTTAAACTCAGAAGTATCCGGGATTGTCTGGTATTCGCTTTTCCCCTAACACAGCAATGAGGATCCCTTTCCTTCCTTGACCAGAAAGTTTCATTTTAAGCTCCTACAAAATAAGTTATTAAAATTGCACCTAAAACATGCAAAGGCCTCAGTAAGTAGATGATCTGTAGAAAGCTACAGAATTTATAAGTTTCTGTTAAATCAAACTCCTAAGTTTTATTTTAGAGAAATAATAGTTAGAGAATATTAAGCTATAACAGGCAGTGGCTAAAAAAATAGTCAAATTTTATATTTTTAGCATGTTCCCTGTGAGTCTTGGGCAAGAAGCACTCACGATTAACAAGTGATGAATAACACTGGTCGGAGAAATTCTTCAGAACCTATGAAGTTTAGAGCACAGTTTCCATTTCCACAATTTGCCTTTGACCATCATGGCAGCATAAATGGTCAGGATGGTGTTACCACATATCCTCAAGGCAAATTAAATGTTCCCTCATGTGTCATTATCTATGGACTGTATTAAAAAAAATAAATAAAAAGTTACAGCTATTTAGATCTGTCACTGCATTAAACCTTACAGAGAGAAGCAACACAGAGTACGTTTCATCTTTTCATTGAAGAAGCACCTTGATAGCCACAAGCATGTGCTGGACATGTACATCCCATCTAGATAAAGCCAGAAAGTGTAACGGATATTTCAAATTATTTTGTTGTTAATGGTTAAGTGATGCTGTCACCCTTCTGAAGAAGGGCTCCTTCCAAGTGTACTTTTATTTGGGAACCTACAGTCCCTGAAAATCTTAATGCTGGAAAACAAATGCTGAATCTCCCTCAAGCCACAGCCAAAGCTCATCAGCTGCATGGACCACAGAGTTGTGGCATTAGCTGTTTTCCAGTCTTGATGATACTTTAAACCATCTTAATTATACATAATATCCTACCATACGAAAGCCTACAGAAAAGGTCTGCTGCTAGGAAAAGAGAAATAAGTGTAGCCAGACGCCAACATTGACAAAAGGAATAGTTTTCAGAGTACCTGTAATAACTCAAAAAAACCAAACCCCAAACACAGCAAATTATTATCAAAAACTGTTATAAAAGCAGTGAAAATGGTCATTTTGGCCAAGTACAAATTACTACAGATGTAGGAAGATACGCTGAATGGCATTGAGATTCCCTTGGTCAAGGCACAACTGAAGTTGCACCTAGACAGATGACAAATGTAATGAGATGTTTAAATTAAGCTATTTTTTCCCCTTCAAATTGGTCCTGCTGTCTCTGTTCCAAACTTATAATTTGGTTCTACTTTCATATTCCCACTGGGCTCTGAAGTGCTCATTCCTAGGATGGAGCAGCCTCGGACAAGACTTTTGGGTATATCCTGCAACAAACATGTAAACCGGGTCTTTTTCAGAGGCTTCGCTAAATTTCACATAATTTTTTTTTGAAGAAAGGTGTAATTCGTTGCCCAAAGATATTTAAGATTATTTCAATTTTCCTTTGTAGTCCTGACAGTTTTGATGTATTGCTGGTATTCTGGACATTTTGACTGCCAGTAGGGACCCAGCCAGTGCTTCAGATTAAGTTGTTGACTTCTGCTCTAATGTTCTTACAAAGACTGAATAGAAAAGAGTGAGCCCAAGAGAGCTCCTCAGGGTGAAATTAAGCCCAGAAAAGGAATTGTGTGTCTGCAGAGAGATTTGCATGGTAGTAAAATTTCTGGAAGTTAATAGATCGCTTTTGCGAAACACTTTGTGAAAGAAAAAAAAAAATATCAAAAAATCCTTCTACAGAATGATCAAGAGCTACGCACACAGAAATGCTTTCAAAACACAAGCATTTAATTTTTAAATGTTAAGTGAGATGTAAATATGTACGTTAGCAACAAAGTGCTCAAAAGCATACTGAAAACATATTCCATACACAGTTAGCAATAGAAGTCTGTACAAAAGTAATAAAGTTACACATTATAAAAAATACTCCATAACTATAATTTAAAAGAGGGAAAAAAGACAAGGGAATTGATTTCTCAGTTCATATAATTTATTGCAGTTAGCACACAGTTTAAAAATTCACCAACACACCAATAGTACAAAACTAAACAGCATTATAAGTTATTCCCCCCTCAGGAAAATAAAACATACTATGATTGTCAAAGCTAGATGTCAGTCTAAGTTTTAGAACAAAAGAAGAATGTGAAACTAAGGAAAGGAAAAAAAGCAATCACTCACAAGGACCACAAAAAAATCCAAGAGAAAGTCCATTTTCCTCAGACACTGATTGTCTTCTCTAACTTAAGAAAAGAATGTAGTTTTAAAACCTAGAAACTATTCAAGTAACTAAAGATAACGCTCCAAGGCCATTTTCACAGCTTTTTTTTTTTTGTTTTAAATGCCATTACAGCCAAATTAACACACATTTGACCAAATATTTCCAAAACAGTCCAGCAATACACAATGGAGTTTTCCATTCAGTATCTTAAGCACAAAAATAGGCTATGTTTACAGTAGTTAAGGCGATCAAATTTTAAACAAAAGCAGAAAAAAAAAAAAAAGAAAAAAAAAAAGGAAAAAACAGCAAACGTTTTCCATGCTACTCCCATAGACCTTATTTGTAAGTGCAAGACAGGAAAACAAACACTGTGCAAAATGCTTTTGACCTGCGTGTTGGTCATTAAAACCACACGTCAGGCTGCAGTCTCTGCTGCTTGGATACACATAGTCCTTCCCCTGCCCTCCCCCGGCCCCCCTGTCACTCAGGCCTTCCCAGGCCTTTCAGCCCGGGGCTTTTTTTTTTTTTTTTTTTTTTTTTTTTTTTTTTTTTTTTTTTTTTTTTTGCCCCCCCTCTTTTTT